ATATCAGTTGACAAATAACAAGCCTTGTCCGTGGCAGTATCAACTTATCCGGCGGGTGTGACATCCAGTACTGGATGAATGGACTTTCCAACATAAGACGACACCAGGCAGGAACAACGGTGTCGGCCACTCTCAACAATGAACTACAATATGCACACGACCTCACCCTTGTCGCTCACATTAAACGCGACCTACAGGAGTTCCTGAACACCTACACAGATGCATGTGCACTATTCGGCCTCGAGGTGAACGTACGCAAGCCACAGATTCTGTTCCAGTCTCGCCTCCAGGTTAACGGTACCAACGGGACCAACCTCTCCAACGATAACCATATCCAGTATCCTGGCTCCCACCTGTCCATCAATACCTCAGATATCAATGAATAGATTCAACATTGGATCAGATGTGCATCTCAAGCATTTGGCAGACTGCATACCCGTCTTCAGCAGTCGGGAGTTGAAAATATCTACAAAGGTACAGTCACCCAAAAAATCATTGCGCTCTGGGGTTCGTTGGAACTGAGAATGATCAACTACCTCAGTTACTTACAGTATGTGTTAGCTTGACATACCCGAGTTTTCTAAACATTTCATGCTGGGTTCCAGTAGTAGTAGTAGTAGTAGTTTGAGTATGTGTGTGTGTGTGTGCCTCTGTCTACCCAGCAGTAATTGGGGACCTGGATGTTAATCTATTTGTGGATGGTGTTCCGGGGTAATGGTTAGCCAGTTGGGTTTTATATCTAGAAGTGTAAGTAACAAGAGTGCAGAGGTCTTATTGCAACTATATCTTGCGCTAGTTAGGCCGCACCTCGATTATGCGGTTCAGTTCTGGTGCCCCTATTATAGAATGGATATAAATTCACTAGAGTCGGTGCAGCGAAGAATGACAAAAAGATTCCGGGACTTAGAAACCTTCCATATCAGGATAGGTTAAAGAAACTTAACTTGCATTCCCTAGAAAGACGAAGAGTGCGGGGAGATATGATAGAAGTATTTAAGGGTGAAAGGAATCAATAAAGGGATATAGACAAAGTTCTTATAATATCCGAGCAGGATAGGACTCGGAGCAACGGATTCAAATTGGATAAGTTTAAGTTTGGGAGGGAGATAGGAAGAAACTGGTTCACAAATAGGGTGGTGGACGAGTGGAACAAGCTTAGCAACTTTGTAGTAAGTGCGGGAACTCTGGAAAGTTTCAAAAGGAGGCTAGATAGATTCATGGATGATAGAGAGTGGTAGTAACCCCGACAGGAGCTGCCATGCACAGGCCAACCGGCCTATTGCAGACTCCTTATTTTCTTATGTTTCTTATGTTCAGTGCAGTTGGCGAGTTGTCCGGTCTTCTCAGACTATTCCTTGACACTGGGTCATGCAGCTCGTTAACTCAGGGTGTGGTTGTTGTGTTGGCGACAGCTTCTACACCTTAAACAAATTCACACCTAGGTGGCCCTTGGGTCGGCCATCCTTGTTACACGAGGGGCAACCATCTTATATCTATATAAAACAAAGAAGTATGTCTGTTTGTATGTTTGTGTGTCCGCACGAGAATCTCGGAAACTACTTTACCGATCTGTAGTGATGATGGATGGTGTTATATGTAGTGATGATGGATGGTGTTATATGTAGTGATGATGGATGATGTTATATATATAGTGATGATGGATGGTGTTATATGTAGTGATGATGGATGATGTTATATATATAGTGATGATGGCTGTTGTTATATGTATTGATGGAGGGTGGTGTTATATGTAGTGATGATGGATGGTGTTATATGTAGTGATGATGGATGGTGTTATATGTAGTGATGATGGATGGTGTTATATGTAGTGATGATGGATGGTGTTATATGTAGTGATGATGGATGGTGTTATATGTAGTGATGATGGATGGTGTTATATGTAGTGATGATGGATGATGTTATATGTAGTGATGATGGCTGTTATATGTATTGATGGAGGTGGTGTTATATGTAGTGATGATGGATGATGTTATATGTACTGATGATGGATGTTGTTATATGTATTGATGGTGGGTTGTTATATGTAGATGATGGATGGTGTTATATGTAGTGATGATGGATGGTGTTATATGTAGTGATGATGGATGGTGTTATATGTAGTGATGATGGATGGTGTTATATGTAGTGATGATGGATGGTGTTATATGTAGTGATGATGGATGGTGTTATATGTAGTGATGATGGATGGTGTTATATGTAGTGATGATGGATGGTGTTATATGTAGTGATGATGGCTGGTTATATGTATTGATGGAGGGTGGTGTTATATGTACTGATGATGGATGTTGTTATATGTATTGATGGTGGGTTGTGTTATATGTAGTGATGATGGATGATATTATATGTAGTGATGATGGATGTTGTTATATGTATTGATGGTGGGTTGTGTTATATGTAGTGATGATGGATGATATTATATGTAGTGATGATGGATGTTGTTATATGTATTGATGGTGGGTTGTGTTATATGTAGTGATGGTGGATGATATTATATGTAGTGATGATGGGTGATGTTATATGTAATGATGATGGATGATGTTATATGTAGTGATGATGGGTGGTGTTATATGTACTGATGATTAGACAATAAAATAATAACAGTTTAATGTTAATCAAGAACTCCCCCAACAACACAAATTGCATTTATAAAGTTCCTTGCAAGGAATGTAATATGTTTTACTTAGGCCAGACAGGTAAAGATCTTGTAACTAGACTTAAACAACATAAATATAGTGTTAGGACAGGCCAGGAATCCAATGCTCTGTTTGTTCATTTGAGGGAAAACAAGCATTGCATTGACTGGGATATTGGGATAATGCTTCCTCAATATTACCTTGTAATTCAATTGATAGTAGGAACATCATAGAATCTAGTCTCATTAAACATACCGAAGCATTCAAAATGAATTTGAGTAATGGCAAGTACAAACTGACAATTTTGTAATTAAGAAGATTTGTAACCAGGTGAGAAGGTTGGGTCACCTTACCCTCTGACCTGACTACCGACCGTTGCCGTGTATTTAAAGATTAGTAGGGTTATTACCTAATACCTGACCATTGTGGACCTGATCTCACTTCCTCTGTACATATACACCTTGTTTTGTACTCATCTTTAGTCTGTACTCACCCCTGAAGATGTGAATTACACGAAAGCGCTTGGGAACTTCGTGCTTTCTTCCCTTGTGGTTATCAGCATATACGTAGATAACGCGCACCTACAGTGATTTACTGCATATATATATATGTGTATATATATATATATATATATATATATATATATATATATATATATATATATATATATATATATATATATATATATACATATATATATATATATATATATATATATATATATACATATATATATATATATATATACATATATATATATATATATATATATATATATATATATATATATATATATATATATATATATATATATATATATATATATATGTGTGTGTGTGTGTGTGTAAATTAATTTTTTTGAATTATGCTACGTACAGCAGCTAGTTTATTGTGCCCCATACTCATCCTGTAAACGGTAGCACAAAACGGATTACAGAGAGGAGGCCACAAAGGGTGTTTATCAGACCCCATTGGTCATGATATAGTGGTGTTGAGTGTTACAGAGTATTTTCAGTACATTGTTTGTTTAGTTCTGTACATAGAAGTTGACTTATCTACTACACGCTAATTGTTGATATAGTCTTCAATATGTCACTGAACACACAGTGTGCTTGGACCTGTCCCCAAGATATTATATTTTGTTACAGTGTAAGACATAGTGTTAAAGCGTGTAGTCATAAGTCTAGCTGCACACTTTACATTTAGTTTTGTTCACACCTGCATGAGACTCATACTGCCATAGGTAGTCTACTTGTAGTCTAGCGGTTACAACATGAGTGATCTTGTTACCTCTACATGTTTTACTTGATACATTTCATCATGGTAAACAATAGTATAATTGAGGCCTATGTGAGAGGGGATCCACATCAGCTTCATCCTGACACTCGTCAACAGGTCACACAATTATACGCGTCTGGCGTCTGAGACAAGTGTTTGGCTATATGAGTTGACGATATCACGAGCAAGTAGTGAGGATAAGGAGTCAGTGATGATGAGACTGTGGCAGTGTGTGGTGGTGGTTGTTTAACCCTACGAGGACGATGGTTTAAGTCAACGAGTACGACGGTTTAAGCGAACAAGGATGGCGGTTTAACCATACAAGGGCGATGGTTTAAAGTTTAAACGAACGAGGAAGATGGTTTAACCCAACGAAAGCGATAGTTTAACCCCACAAGGACTATGGTTTAAATGAACGAAGACGATGGTTTAACACTACAAAGACGATAGTTTAACAGTTTAAGATGATGGTTTAACTTTATAAGGACATGGCAAGCGAGCGGACCCGGGTTCGATCCCCGGGCAGGGTGAAACTATGGGCAAGTTTCTTTACGCCATTTTCCTCAGCAGTAATTTGGAACTTGGATGTTAATCGATTTGCGGATCTTATTCCGGGGTGTGGTTGTTGAGTTGAGACAGCTTCTACACCTTAAATTCACGCCTAGGTGGCCCTCGTGCAGGCCATCCTCGTTACAATAGAGGCAACCATTATTATAAGGACGATGGTTTAAGACTACGAGGACGATGGTTTAACGCTACGAGGACGACGATAATTTAATGGTTTAACTTTCCAAGGACGATGGTTTAAGACTACGAGGACGATGGTTTAACACTACGAGGACGACGACAGTTTAACAATTTAATGGTTTAACTTTCCAAGGACGATGGTTTAACCATTGATCCTGAAAATTCGATATTTGTCTACAAGCTGCCTGTCACAACAGGTAACAGTTGTCTACAAGCTACCTGCCACAACCACAACAGGGAACAGATGTCTACAAGCTACCTGCCACAACCACAACAGGTAACAGTTGTCTACAAGCTACCTGCCACAACCACCAGGAACAGATGTCTACAAGCTACCTGCCACAACCACAACAGGTGACAGTTGTCTACAAGCTGCCTGTCACAACCACAACAGGGAACAGATGTCTACAAGCTGCCTGTCACAACCACAACAGGGAACAGATGTCTACAAGTTGCCTGCCACAACCACAACAGGTAACAGTTGTCTACAAGCTGCCTGTCACAACCACAACAGGGAACAGATGTCTACAAGTTGCCTGCCACAACAGGTAACAATTGTCTACAAGCTGCCTGCCACAATCACAACAGGTAACAGTTGTCTACAAGCTGCCTGCCACAACAGGTAACAATTGTCTACAAGCGCCTGCCACAACCACAACATGTAACAATTGTCTACAAGCTGCCCACACAACAGGTGACAGTTGTCTACAAGCTGTCTGGCTACAACAGGTGACAGTTGTCTACAAGCTGCCTGCCACAACCACAACAGGTAACAATTGTCTACAAGCTGCCTGCCACAACAGGTAACAGTTGTCTACAAGCTGTCTGCCACAACAGGTGACAGTTGTCTACAAGCTGCCTGCCACAACCACAACAGGTAACAATTGTCTACAAAGCTGCCTGGCCACAACAGGTGACAGTTGTCTACAAGCTGCCTGCCACAACCACAACAGGGAACAGTTGTCTACAAGCTGCCTCTCACAACAGGGAACAGTTGTCTACAAGCTGCCTGCCACAACAGGGAACAGTTGTCTACAAGCTGTCTGCCACAACAGGGAACAGTTGTCTACAAGCTGCCTGCCACAACCACAACAGGGAACAGTTGTCTACAAGCTGCCTGCCACAACCACAACCGGGAACAGTTGTCTACAAGCTGCCACCATAACAGGGAACAGTTGTCTACAAGCTGCCTGCCACAACAGGAACAGTTGTCTACAAGCTTCCTGCCACAACAGGGAACAGTTGTCTACAAGCTGCCTGCCACAACAGGGAACAGTTGTCTACAAGCTGCCTGCTACAACAGGGAACAGTTGTCTACAAGCTGCGTGCTACAACAGGGAACAGTTGTCTACAAGCTGCCTGCCACAACAGGGAACAGTTGTCTACAAGCTGCCTGCTACAACAGGGAACAGTTGTCTACAAGCTGCCTGCCACAACTACAACAGGCAAGAGTTTCAACTTGTAAACACTACGTAATGTTTATCACTTGACAAACATTGAAATATGTAACATCACCACCACTACCACCATCACCACCACTACCACCATCACCACAACCACCAACACAACCATCATCACCACCAAAACCACCATCACAACCCTCATCACCACCACAACCACCATCACCACCACTACCACTAACATCACAACCACCATCACAACCATCACCACCACAATCACTATCACCGCCACTACCACCATTACCATCACCACTACCACCATCACCACCCCCATCGACATCACTACCAACATCACCACCACTATCACCACCATCACCACTAGCACTAGCACCATCACCACCACTACTACGATCTAGAAGTGTAAGTAACAAGAGTGCAGAGGTCTTATTGCAACTATATCTTGCGCTAGTCAGGCCGCACCTCGATTATGCGGTTCAGTTCTGGTGCCCTTATTATAGAATGGATATAAATTCACTAGAGTCGGTGCATGAAGAATGACAAAAATGATTCCGGGACTTAGAAACCTTCCATATCAGGATAGGTTAAAGAAACTTAATTTGCATTCCTAGAAAGACGAAGAGTGCGGGAGATATGATAGAAGTATTTAAGTGGGTGAAAGGAATCAATAAAGGGATATAGATAAAGTTCTTATAATATCCAAACAGGATAGGACCTGAGCAACGGATTCAAGTTGGATAAGTTTAGGTTTAGGAGGGAGATAGGAAGAAACTGGTTCATAAATAGGGTGGTGGACGAGTGAAAAGCTTAGTAACTTTGTAGTAAGTGCGGGAACTCTGGAAAGTTTCAAAAGGAGGCTAGATAGATTCATGGATGATAGAGAGTGGTAGTAACTCTCGACAGGAGCTGCCATGCACAGGCCAACCGGCCTATTGCAGACTTCTTATTTTCTTATGTTCTTATCACCACTACTACCACCATCATCACCACTACCACCATCATTACCCCCACTACCACCATCGTCGCCGCCGCCACCAACACCACCACTACTACCAACATCAATAGCAACTTCAATGCCACTACCACCATCACCACCACTACTACCATCACCACCACTACTACCATCACCACCACTACTACCATCACCGCCACTACTACCATCACCACCACTACTACCATCACCACTACCATCACCACCACTACCACCATCACCACCACTACTACCATCACCACCACTACTACCATTACCACCGCTACCATACACCGCCACCACCATCACCACCACTACTGCCAACACCACCACTACTACCATCACCACCACCTACTACCATCAACACCACTACACACATCACCACCACTACTACCATCACCACCACTACTGAGATCACCACCGCTACTACCATCACCACCACTACTACCATCAACACCACTACTACTAACATCAATAGCAACTTCACTGCCACTACCACCATCACCACCACCACCATCGCCACCACTACTACCATCACCGCCACTACCACCATCACCACCACTACTACCATCAACACCACTACTACCATCACCACCACTACTACCATCACCACCACTACTAGCATCACCACCGCTACTACCATCACCACCACTACTAACATCAATAGCAACTTCACCTCACACTACCACCATCACCACCACTACTACCATCGCCACCACTACTACCATCACCGCCACTTACTACCATCACCACCACTACCACCATCACCACCACTACACCATCACCACTACTACCATCACCGCCACTACTACCATCACCACCACTACCACCATCACCACCACTACTACCATCACCACCACTACTACCATCACCACCACTACCACATCACCACCACTACTACCATCACCACCACTACCACCATCACCACCACTACTACCATCACCACCACTACTACCATCAACACCACTACTACCATCACCACAGCTACCACCATCACCACCACCACTAGCATCACCACCACTACTACCATCACCACCACTACTACCATCACCACCATCACCACCACTACTACCATCACCACCACTACTACCACATCACCACTACTACCATCACACCACTACTACCATCACCACCACTACTACCATCACCACCACTACTACCATCACCACCACTACTACCATCACCACCACCACTACTACCATCACCACCACTACTACCATCACCACCACTACTACCATCACCACCACTACTACCATCACCACCACTACTACCATCAACACCACTACACCATCACCACAGCTACCACCATCACCACCACTACTAGCATCACCACCACTACTACCATCACCACCACTACTACCATCAACACCACTACCACTAACATCAATAGCAACCACTGCCACTACCACCATCACCACTACCATCACCACCCACTACTACCATCACCGCCACTACTCACCATCACCACCACTACTACCATCACCACCACTACTACAATCACCACCACTACTACCATCACTCACACTCACTACCATCACCCCCACTACTACCATCACCGCCACTACTACCATCACCGCACTACTACCATCACCACCACTACTACCATCACCACCACTACTACCATCACCACCACTACTACCATCACCACCACTACTACCATTACCACCGCTACCACCATCACCACCACTACTACGAACACCACCACTACTACTACTAACATCAATAGCAACTTCATTGCCACTACCACCATCACCACCACTACCACCATCACCACCACTACTACCATCACCACTACTACCATCACCACCACTACCACCATCACCGCCACTACTACCATCACCACCACTACACCATCACCGCCACTACTACCATCACCACCACTACTACCATCACCACCACTGCTACCATCACCACCACTACTACCATCACCACCACTACTACCATCAACACCACTACTACCATCACCACCACTACTACCATTACCACCGCTACCACCATCACCACCGCTACCACCATCACCACCACTACTACCAACACCACCACTACTACTAACATCAATAGCAACTTCACTGCCACTACCACCATCACCACCACTACTACCATCACCACCACTCTACCATCACCACCACTACTACCACATCACCACCACTACTCCCATCACCCCACTACCACCATCACCGCCACTACCACCATCACCACCACTACCACCATCACCACCACTACTACCATCACCACCACCACTACCATTACCACCGCTACCACCATCACCACCACATACCACCAACACCACCACTACTACTAACATCAATAGCAACTTCACTGCCACTCACCACCATCACCACCACTACTACCATCACCACCACTACTACCATCACCCCACTACTACCATCACCTACCACTACACCATCACCGCCACTACTACCCCAATCACCACCACTACTACCATCACCGCCACTACCACCATCACCACCACTACCACCATCACCACCACTACTACCATCACACCACTACTACCATCACCACCACTACCACCATTACCACCACACCACCATCACCACCGCTACCACATCACCACCACTACTACCAACACCACCACTACTACTAACATCACAGCAACTCACTGCCACCACCAACCATCACCACCACTACTACCATCACCACCACTACTACCATCACCACCACTACTACCATCACCACCACTACTACCATCACCACTACTACCATCACCACCACTACTACCATCACCACCACTACTACCATCACCACCACTACTACCATCACCACCACTACTACCATCACCACCACTACTACCATCACCACCACTACCACCATCAACACCACTACTACCATCACCACCACTACTACCATCACCACCAATTACTAGCATCACCACCGCTACTACCATCACCACCACTACTACCACCATCAACACCACTACTACTAACATCATTAGCAACTTCACTGCCACTACCACCATCACCACCACTACTACCATCACCACCACTACTACCATCACCGCCACTACTACCATCACCACCACTACTACCAACACCACTTATTACTACTAACATCAATAGCAACTTCAAGCCACTACCACCACCACTACCACATCACCACCACTACTACCATCACCGCCACTACCACCATCACCACCACTATTACCATCACCACCACTACCATCACCACCACTACTACCATCACCACCACTACTACCATCAACACCACTACTACCATCACCACCACTACTACCATCACTCAACATTACCAGCATCACCACCGCTACTACCATCACCACCACCACTACCATCAACACCACTACTACTAACATCAATGCAACTTCACTGCCACTACCACCATCACCACCACTACTACCATTACCACCGCTACCACCATCACCACCTTACTACCATCACCACCACTACTACCATCACCACCACTACTACCACCACTACCACCATCACCACTATTACTACCATTAACACCGCTACCACCATCACCACCACTACTACCATCACCACCACTACTACCATCACCACTACTACCACCATCACCACCACTACTACCATCACCAATCCACTACTACCATCACCACCACTACTACCATCACCACCACTACTACCACCACTACCACATCACCAATTCTACCATCACCACCACTATACCACCACCACCACTATTACCACCATCACCACCACTACTACCACCCCACCACCATCACCACCACTACTACCATCACCACCACTACCACCATCACCACCACTACTACCATCACCACCACTACTACCACCATCACCACCACTACTACCATCACCACCACTACTAATATCACCACCACTACTACCATAACCACCACTACTACCATGAACACCACTACTACCATTACCACCACTACCGACACCACCACAACCACCACCACCACCACGAACCACAACTACCACCATCATGTCACCTACCACAACTACCACCATCATGTCACCTACCACAACTACCACCATCATGTCACCAACCACAACTACCACCATCATGTCACCAACCACAACTACCACCATCATGTCACCAACCACAACTACCACCACCATATCACCAACCACAACTACCACCATCATATTTTTTCCAGTTTGTTTACACTCAAGGAACTACACACACTTGTTTACACTGAAGGAACTACACACACTTGTTTACACTCAAGGAACTACACACACTTGTTTACACTCAAGGAACTACACACACTTGTTTACACTCAAGGAACTACACACACTTGTTTACACTCAAGGAACTACACACGCTTGTTTACACTCAAGAACTACACACTTGTTTACACTGGAAGGAACTACACACACTTGTTTACACTCAAGGAATCACACACTTGTTTACACTCAAGAACTACACACGCTTGTTTACACTCAAGGAACTTCACACACTTGTTTACACTCAAGGAACTACACACGCTTGTTTACACTCATGAACTACACACACTTGTTTACACTCAAGGAACTACACACGCTTGTTTACACTCAAGGAACTACACACGCTTGTTTACACTCAAGGAACTACACACACTTGTTTACACTCAAGGAACTACACACGCTTGTTTACACTCAAGGAACTACACACGCTTGTTTACAATCAAGGAACTACACACACTACATCCTTGACCACCGAAGGGTCAAGACGTACCTGGCGCTCTTCTGGGAGCAGCCAGGTCAACTGTTAAGTTGGCCCATACCAACTCCTTCCCCTGAACCCCTCCTCCCCACCTGAATATCAACAAGATAACTGCACACAGTGAGATCCCAGGTACCCAGTGATAACTGCCCACTGAGACCCAACAACAACCAGCGATGTGTTAAACCATCTACGATAGGAAGGCCTGGGACCACACCTCACTCAAATAACACCATCTGTGAGGGAATTATTACATCACATGAGAGGTTCCATACATCTGTGAGGGAATTCGCACACCACGTGATGCCCCTCATAACACCATCTGTGAGGGAGTTACTACACCACGTGAGGCCCCCCCATAACACCATCTGTGAGGGAATTACTACACCACGTGAGGTCCCTCATAACACCATCTGTGAGGGAATTACTACACCACGTGAGGTCCCTCATAACACCATCTGAGGGAACCACTACATCACGTGAGGTCCCTCCTAACACCATCTGGGAGGGAGTTACTACACTACGTGTTTGCTGTTGAACACGTACAATCCTACATTAATCTGTATGTTCACTGTATGTTCCTTTACCTTTCTCTAATGAAGGCTTTTGTTAAACCACCAATGTATGTAATAAGTCATTTATGTCCAATGTATATTTTCAGCCTTCGGGCTGCGGAACTTTTTCAATAAACCGTAAATTTTTATTATTATTTATTTATTACTTGCTTACACTCAAGGAACTACAAACACTTGTTTACACTTAAATACACACATTTTGTTTGCACTTACTGGCATAAACATGTTAATATAATATGGGATAAATCGTAAAAGGAAGAAGTTTTAGCAGGAACAATGAGATATAGACAGCAATTATGAGTGATCCATGTTCCCTCGGCTGTTACATATGTAATGTGTGTGTGTGTGTTTGTGTGGCCCCAGGACGCCTAAACACTTAAAGAGCCTGCTTGATCCCTTACTTCAATACTTATAAATAGATTGTACTTACAGTTAGTATTGGTGGTAGTGATGGACGGTGTCTTTAGAAGCGAAGAGGGTAGAGTGCCTGTTGGGGTTGAGGAGGCAGTGGGTGACGGGGGCAGGGAAGCAGACCACCTCCTCCACCTGTTTATGAGAGTTACCAACTGACACGAAGGTACTGTTACTACTGGTTCATAGCTCATGCTTTACGCTGCGATGGCGGATGTACGACCATATTATATTCACAATTATTGTTGCCATATTTTTACGAAATATATCTAATTTTTGCCTGAATAATTAACATCAATACACATCTGCAGATGGGAAATTTTCAGAGAAAATTATTTTGAAGAACAGACAACTTCTAGGTGTTTTTCCTTAAGTAATTAGACAAATAATATATTTTAACTGGCGCTCAGCAAATAGACTATAGAGCACAGATTAAGCGGCTTTATCTGGTTCAACAAATATAAACAATGAAGTAATGAAGAATCGTCTCGCAGCAGCAACTTAGGCCAACTCGATGTAAAGTTACCACCTACACATCACCCATATAAGAGACATCATTATTAATCTAAACAGACTTTTTGTTTAAATGTGTCTCTCTGGGAATACACTTGTAACTTAGTATTGTTACACCACAAGAGAATCAGACGACCACCACACAACACACACTTGACGCCACACAATATCGGCCGAGCCACCAAAAAGCTATTTTAAAGATGAGGAAATAAGGCAATGACTTCCTTCACTCATTCACCAGTACCACCATGTCCTTCCTGGCTGCTCCACCTTACCTTACTCTCAGGTGAAGTGTTCTTGTAGTGTGTCGAGGAGACGTGAACGTCATGTTATGAGTCATAGATCAACTCCCGGTAAGGTGTACAGTCAACCACTGAAGTCCGTCTCGCTGAACCACGAACCCCGAGTTTCAAACTCGTGAACCCGAAGCAGTAGACTGATACTTTATTCTATCCATAAATCCTTCAGATTCATGAGTCTGAAACTAGGGGTTTTTGGTTCAGGGAGAGAGGTGAACAGACTTTAGTAGTTGACTGTACACCACTGTCATGTACACGTGTACAACACTGCCAGATACACATGTACAACACTGTCAGGTACACATGTACAACACTGTCAGGTACACATGTACAACACTGTCAGGTACACATGTACAACACTGTCAGGTACACATGTACAACACTGTCAGGTACACATGTACAACACTGAGAAGACTCCAGGGCCCCAGGACTCTCAGACTACAGGACTCCAGGAATTTTAAGCACCAGGATTCCCAGACTACAGGACTCCAGGAATCCTAGACTCCAGGAATCCTAGATTCCAGGACTCCCAGACTACAGGACTCCAGGAATCATAGACTCCAGGAATCCCAGACTACAGGGCTCCTAGGAATCTAAGACGACAGGACTTCAGGAATCCTAGACTCCAGAACTCCCAGACTACAGGGCTCCAGGAATCCTAGACTCCAGAACTACAGGGCTCCCAGACTAAAGGACTTCCAGACTACAGGACTCCCAGACTACAAAGCTCCAGGACTCCCAGGCTCCAGGATTCCCAGACCAGAGGGCTCTCAGACTACAGGGCTCCAGGACTCCCAGGTTCCAGGACTCCCAGGCTCCAGGACTTTCAGACTACAGGGCTCCCAGACTATAGGTCTCCAGGACTCCCAGGCTCCAGGACTCCCAGGCTCCAGGACCCTAGGCCCCCAGACTACAGGGCTCCAGGACCAGGACTCCCAGGCTCCAGGACCTTAGATCTCCAGGACTCTCAGGACCCCAGGACTCCTAGGCTCCAGGACTCTTAGATCACAGGGCTCCCAGACTACAGGCTCCAGGACTTCCAGGCTCCAGGACTCCAGGCTCCAGGACTCTAGACTCAGGCAGATACAGGGCTCCAGGACTCCCAGGCTCCAGGACTCCCAGGCTCCAGGACCCCAGGCTCAAGGACCCCAGACTACAAGGATCCAGGACTCCCAGACTACAGGGCTCCAGGAATCACAGGCTCCAGAACTTCCAGACTACAGGGCTCCAGGAATCACAGGCTCCAGGACTCCCCAGACTACAGGGCTCCAGGAATCACAGGCTCCAGAACTTCCAGACTACAGGGCTCCAGGAATCGCAGGCTCTAGGACTCCCAGACTACAGGACTCCCAGGCTCAAGGATCTCCAGACTACAAAGCTCCAGGACTCCCAAACTACAAAGCTCCAGGACTCCCAAATTACAAAGCTCCAGGACTCCCAAACTACAGGGCTCCAAGACAAACAGGCTACAGGGCTCCAGGAATCACAGGCTCCAGAACTTCCAGACTACAGGGCTCCAGACTCCCAGGCCGCAGGGCTCCAGGACTCTCAGACTTCCAGGCTTCAGGGCTCCCAGATTATAGGGTTCCCAGACTACAGGACTCCCAGACTACAGGACTACAAGATTATAGGGCTCCAGGACACCCAGACTACCAAGCTCCAGGGCTCCCGGGTTCTATGTATCTGTCACTAAGGCTCCGAGGCTCCATGTATATGTCACTGAGGCTCCCAGACTCTATGTATATGTCACTAAGGCTCCCAGACTCGATGTATATGTTACTAAGGCTCCCAGGCTCTATATATATGACACAACGGCTCCCAGGCTCTATGTGAATACTGAGGTCACCATTTTAAGGTCAGTTTGATGATCTTTGACCCCAGTGTGAGGCAGAGGTTGTCAAGTGTGGACTTACCGTAGTCATTATACGATATATAATAAGACATTTAGTAAGTGAGATATTGCAAAGAGATTTTTCTTATAATCTAGTACTATAGTGTGTTATAAAATAGTACTATAGTGTGTTATAATATAGTACTATAGTGCGTTATAATCTAGTACTATAGTGTGTTATAATCTAGTACTATAGTGTGTTATAATATAGTACTATAGTGTGTTATAATACAGTACTCTAGTGTGTTATAATATAGTACTATAGTGTGTTACAAGTGATCGTGGGCCATTCGTGCCCGGTGGCGAGTCCGGTGGTACAGTTTACTGAGGCGTGAAAGTTCAAACGCTCGTGCTTGGCTAGCGCGCAACCGCCGTCCGGCTGACAGCGTACAGCTACATCGTTTTCCAGCGTAAATAAAATGGTTAATTAATGCCTTCCTAAAGAAACCATCGACATGAGACCAGGTTTGTTCCACTACGAATTTTTTGCGATTTTTCCACCTAGTTTGATGAAAAACTATTGTGCTGTTTCGGCTGCCCAGAACAGACACACAGACATACGGCTAGTCCTATAGTATATTAGATAATCTAGTACTATAGTTTGTTATAATCTAGTACCATACTGTGTTATAATCTAGTACTATAGTGTGTTATAATATAGTACTATAGTGTGTTATAATCTAGCACTATAGTGTGTTATAATATAGTACTCTTGTGTGTTATAACCTAATATACTATAGGACTAGCCGTGTGTCTGTCTGTCTGTCTGTCTGTTTGTGTGTGTGTGTGTGTGTCTGTTCTGGGCAGCCGAAACGGCACAATCGTTTTTCATCAAACTTGGTGGAAAAATCGCAAAAAATTCGTAAAGTGTAACAAACCTGGTCCCATGTCGATGGTTTCTTTAGGAACGCATTAATTAACGATTTTATTTACACTGGCAACAGATGTCGCTTTATGCTGTCAGCCGGCGGGACGATTGCAGTTATCATACGGCTCCCTCCTCCTCCCCCCACTTTTTCTCTTAGCCTACTTTTTTTTAATGTTGTTTGGAATAGTAAAGGAAGGAAGATGAGTAAATAGAAGAATGAAGAAAGGGAAACAGACAATAGTTAGAGATAACAGGTGGGGAGCTGAGTTTCGTCATGCGTCTGGATGTGCAGTTTCAACTTTACCAGAGCATTTTCAGACCTTATGAGGCTACAGTGTGTACTTATTCCTGTGGCTGACTGTACATAGAAAAGGAGAAGAGATAAAAAGATAATAACAGGAATGCATGGAGAAGATGACTACAATAGACACAGGGTGAATATAGACAGTGAAACAGACAGGAGGTTGACAAAAATAGACAGATTCATACATGCACAAATAGACAATATGGCAACTAACATGACAGACAGACAGCTGACTGACTGGTTCACATTAGACAAACAGGCAGACACACGCCGACAACGGATAAGACAGACAGATTTGACGACACAAGAGTACAGACGGGCTGACAGTCAAAGACCACGCAGACGAACAGACAGTTGGGATGGCAATAGACAGGACGGATAGACTTGAGACAGATTAGAAGGCATTTATAAACAAGAATAACACCAAATTGACCATAGCTGCGTCAGTGAGGGTAGCTGGTCTTACATCCGCCAGCGTAAATAATAAGACGCATTGAAAACTAACACCCTCGTGCGGAAAGAACATCGATTGTCGGTCAGTCATGTGAGATGGGCCTAAAACTGACTAATGTACATGATGACTATGATGACTTAACACAGGTGATGACTTAAGCAGATGGTGACTAATCTAACTAGAATCAAGGTCACATCTCTTCAAAATATAATTTATCTCGGAATGATCATCGGTGATTCATAATATATGTTTTTTTAACCTCTCCTTATGGCGAATATTTCTTTAACTAATTATTCTAACCTTTATTCTATTCCTTCTTATAGTATATTAGATACTGTAAGTATCACGACCACGACCATGATTATAACAACCACGACCATGATTATAACAACCACCACCATGATCATAACAACCACGACTATGATTATAACAACCACGACCATGATCATAACAACCACGACTATGATTATAACAACCACCACCATGATCATAACAACCACGACTATGATTATAACAACCACCACCATGATCATAACAACCACGACCATGATCATAACAACCACGACTATGATTATAACAACCACGACCATGATCATAACAACCACGACTATGATTATAACAACCATGACCATGATTATAACAACCACGACCATGATTATAACAACCACGACCATGATCATAAGAACCACGACTATGATTATAACAACCATGACCATGATTATAACAACCATGACCATGATTATAACAACCACGACTATGATTATAACAACCACGACCATGATCATAACAACCACGACTATGATTATAACAACCACGACTATGATTATAACAACCACCACCATGATTATAACAACTACCACCATGATTATAACTATATATGATTATAACAACCACATGATCATAACAACCACGACTATGATTATAACAACCACCATGACCACGACTGACTATAACAACCACGACTATGATTATAACAACCATGATTATAACAACCATGACCATGATTATAACAACCACGACTATGATTATAACAACCACGACCATGATCATAACAACCACGACTATGATTATAACAACCACGACCATGATCATAACAACCACGACTATGATTATAACAACCACGACCATGATCATAACAACCACGACCATGTTCATAACAACCACGACTATGATTATAACAACCACCACCATGATCATAACAAATTAATGACGTTCAAGGATCATAACAACACGACTATGATTATAACAACCACGACCATGATCATAACAACCACGACTATGATTATAACAACCACGACCATAATCATAACAACCACCTCACCATGATCAAGTAACAACCACGACTATGATTATAACAAACTACGACCATGACTACAAATAACCACGACCATGACTTCATAACAACCTCGACCATGATTATAACAACCACTAGTATGATTATAAAAACCACGACCATGATTATAACAACCACGACCATGAATATAACAACCACGGCAATGATTATAACAACCACGACCATGATTATAACAACCACGACCACGATTATAACAACCTCGACTATGATTATAACAAGCACCACCATGAATATAACAACCACGACCATGATTATAACAACCACGACTATGATTATAACAACGACGACCAGGATTATAACAACCACGACCAAGGATCATAACAACCACGACCATGATCATAACCACGACCATGATCATAACAACCACGACTATGATTATAACAACCACACCATGATCATAACAACCACGACTATGATTATAACAACCACGACCATGATCATAACAACCACGACCATGATCATAACAACCACGACTATGATTATAACAACCACGACCATGATCATAACAACCACGACTATGATTATAACAACCACGACCATGATCATAACAACCACGACCATGATCATAACAACCACGACTATGATTATAACAACCACGACCATGATCATAACAACCACGACTATGATTATAACAACCATGACCATGATTATAACAACCACGACCATGATTATAACAACCACGACCATGATCATAACAACCACGACTATGATTATAACAACCATGACCATGATTATAACTATAGTGTGTTATAATATAGTAGTATAGTGTGTTATAATCTAGTACTATAGTGTGTTATAATATAGTACTATAGTGTGTTATAATCTAGTACTATAGTGCGTTATAATATAGTACTGTAGTGTGTTATAATATAGTACCATAGTGTGTTATAATCTAGTATTATAGTGTGTTATAAAATAGTACTATCGGGTGTTAGAGTATGGTACTATAGTGTTCTAAAATATAGTACTATAGTGTGTTATAATATAGTTCTATAGTGTGCTTTAATCTAGTACTATAGTGTGTTATAATATAGTTCTATAGTGTGTTTTAATCTAGTACTATAGTGTGTTATAATATAGTACAATAGTGTGTTATATTATTGTGCCATGTTGTGTTATAATATAGTGCTATATTGTGTTATAATATAGTATTATAGTGTATTATAAACTAGTTCTATAGTGTGTTATAATCTAGTACTCTAGTGTGTTATGATATAGTACGATAGTGTGTTATATTATTGTGCCATGTTGTGTTATAATATAGTGCTATATTGTGTTATAATATAGTATTATAGTGTATTATAAACTAGTACTATAGTGTGTTATAATCTAGAACTATAGTGTGTTATGATATAGTACGATAGTGTGTTATAATATAGTGCTATATTGTGTTATAATATAGTGGTATATTGTGTTATGATATAGTATTATAGTGTATTATAAACTAGTACTATAGTGTGGTATAATCTAGTACTATAGTGTGTTATAATATAGTATTATAGTGTGTTATAATATAGTATTATAGTGTGCTACATAGTACTATAGTGTGTTATAATATAATATTATAGTGTATTATAAACTAGTACTATAGTGTGTTATAATCTAGAACTATAGTGTGTTATGATATAGTACGATAGTGTATTATTATATAGTGCTATATTGTTTTATAATATAGTACTATAGTGTGTTATAATATAGTACTATAATGTGTTATAATATAGTATTATAGTGTGTTATAATATAGTACTATAGTGTGTTTTAATCTACTACTATAGTGTGTTATAATATATTACTATAGTGTGTTATAATCTAGTACTATATT